CTTCGTTCTTAAATATTTGAAGAAGTAAACATCGTCTGTACCTCAACACTTCTTATAGTCCGACTTATAAACGTAACACATACTACATAAGGAATATATAAAGGTCAGCATTTCTGATTCATCATGACAACTGGAACTCAATCATTACTTTGAATCTTGAGTTAAGTTATACCGAATATATTGGTGTTAACGATAAAAGGATTTGTGAGAATCTTCATCATTATAATAATCTGACAGCATTTTCAACAACTTCAATACCTATATTTCAACCGCGGCTGTATATGCATGACTCATGATAAAATAGGAAGCAGAGAATAATAGGCTATGTGAATAAAATGCTAAGTTTTAACAAAGGTGGTATTTTACCATATTAAAAATTTTATACATAAGAGAAATCTAGGGATGTATAGAAAGTTTTCTATTTCGTATCAAAAGTACCTCTATGTTCCGTTCTTTCAATGGTCGATGTTTAGAAAAAGTTGTCAAATATAGAGTTAAGTTGAAATATTTGAATCACTTTAGAAAATAACTTGGTGAGTCTTATGTACCATTAGAAAAAATTGTGGTTGTATACGTCATTCTAAATTAAACAGTACAAATAAGCTATCTCGTATTGGTGTAGGACTTTTCGTCATCCAACATCATTCCATATATCAAATCCATAATTTTCATTCAATAGGACCTAGAATTTCCAAATAAATAAAATAGAACAACTGTTCAACTCTTCCTAGAAGAAGTTTTTAAACGTGTGAAATTATCGAATTATTTCGTACAATGCTTACGTAGGCCATTGATTAAAGTGAGATATATGTTGAAAACCATATAATTTCTGACTTTAAATGCTTGGCTTCTTATAAGTGCTATATATATATATATATATATATATATATATATATATATATATATATATATATATATATATAGCTCTAACCAGTACTTTCATAATTTCAATTTCTTAGTAGACCTACTTTTATCTCAGTAGAGGTGAGCAACAATCGTCTACAATCATAAGAAACATTTTAGTAATTAAGTCTTCCACCAGTAGAAAATATCGATTAGTATCATATATTCAAATGAATACATATATTTTACTATTCTTTAATATTTAATGAGATTAACATTAGAGCATACGAAAACAAAATATTCCATAACTATCATTACAGATAGTTTACTTGTAAAATCTCCAGCACTAACTATACTTCTTTCAAATTTTTATATCACTTTGACAAAGTTATAAAAATAAGAGATCAGTAACATTTCTTGAAAGAACTAACCCACAGATTTTTATTATCGTTATATTGAGCTAATGGTAACTGTATCATAAAAAAACAAAAATTAGTAAACTTTTGAAAATTTTTATTATTTTCTTACAAACCAATAAAACTAGGTGAACTACATGTGAAATTCTGTTGTGTTTTCATCTTGGCATCGTTTTTTCTTTGTTATTGTTTATTATTTTTTTTCCTTCATCAATTTCAGTGTAAACAATAAAATTCAAAGTTTATTGATATTTAGTTAGAAGTGTTACTACTATTTTATATAATAAATAATCTCTTATATAAATATGTTCAAATATGAGGTTATTATTTTTTGGGGGGGTGGAGGGGGAGGAAGAAGATTGTAAACAGGTAAAACAACCTAATTGTTGCTTTAATTATCTTCTACCAGTAAAAATAAGATGTTATATATCACACCAACTATCTTTGTATAGATACATACAGCTCAAGTGAAGAAAATAAGTACGTCAATAGAATATGTGTCATTTTATTATCATGGTCATGAAAAAAGTTATGAGAAAATAACATTTCATTCAGTGTTTGTTTATGCATGATTCAGTTGTTCAAAAATATGAGGTAAAGAAAATAGGTTGGGCAAAAAATAAACAAGATATACCTAGAAACAAGACAGTTTTATTCTTTTTTTAATATAATCATCATTCCACTTTTTTTAAAATTTACGATTACTTTATTAGATGGTGGTTGGAGGTAGTCGGCAGGAAACCCTGAACCCTGGTTTCGTGCTACTTGGCACTCGTTAGCAAGGTGTATCTTTAATCTTGAGGGAACTAGTGCTCCCTATCGGATTCGATCCCGTGTCACCCAGCTTCACAGCCAGAAACGTTACCACTGAGCTATCCAGGCTGCGACTGACCTCCTTTAGGACTGAGATGTAATCACAATCGTCGACTACCTCCAAACACCATCTGATCTCAATATATAGTGCCCGCCATATCGAGTCACCTAGACTGGTGGTCACATTACAACAGCATTCGATTTGCACTAAAATAAGGACTTGACACGCATGACATTGATCACCACCCAGTGATCAACAAATTGTGACGATTACTTTATTTTGCATTTGACAAGAAAAGCATAGTACTGGTTATTTAATTATTGTTAAACTATTAAGCTTAACAAATGAAACTATATCATCGACTAGTAGGGATTATTAATTAATAAATAGTTACATTCAGTTTGTCGTTTTTTCTTCATATCAATCAATTAAACAATTACCTGATCCATAAACTATTTTCTTCCTTACCCTTTGATTAGTACGTAACCTCATTTGTTATTTAGTCTCAAATCCATTTATAATGCAATCTTTTCTATCTTCCTATAGACATATATTTTCCTCATAAAACTATATATATAAGATTGTACGAATGATTTCGTCGAAAAGAAAACTTTTCCTCGCTGAATCCTTCTTTTCATGTATACTGACCTTTATATATATTTATATACAATACTTTCAGACTCTTTTTAATAAAACAATATCAATTATAATGAGTATACATTGTCATTGTTGTACGATAAATAATAAAAAAAATAGTCAGTCAGTTAGTCAGCTACAACGTAGGACCAGGTACATATATGCGTCGGTCCAGGTTGCCATACCGCATTAGCACAGCAAGATGAACACCGGATTCATAGGAGTGGTTAGGTCAAAGGTGGTAATATATAGGAGAAAGATTGCATATATGGATGCAGTACAGGAAGGAAGAATTAGTTATACTTTGTACATTTATTTATAATAAAAAAATAAATGTACAAAGTATAAGTACGAGTATCACAATTGATTAATCACTGGGTGGTGATCAATGTCATATGTGTCAAGTCCTTAATTAGTGCACATTGAATGCTATCGACCATGTGACATGAGATCGAATCCGACAGGGAGCACTAGTTCCCTCAAGATTAAAGATACACAATGCTGACGAGTGCCAAGTAGCACGAAACCCGGTTCCAGGGTTTCCTGTCGACTACCTCCAAGCACAATCTAATAAGTACGCGTATACTTGAATTTTATAAATCCCGAATATTATGCTTAAATTTATTCAAGCGTTCATTTGAACAAAATAAATTTTAATGTTACTTAACTTTTATTCTTCAGTTTAAATAGTTACATTTCTTGAAAATATGTTGACATTTTTATTGTAAAGAAAAATCCCTCATTTTTTTAATAACAGCTGACTTGTCATATGGTTGTATGGTTGCTTGTGTGTTTGTTTTAAATTTCTAAAAAAATCAGTTCTGTAATATTTTGTTTAAAATAACAAAAAACATTGTCAACACAATGTAGACTGATGACAATTTGAAAAGGAATCAAAATCATTTCATTGTAATTGGCATGGTAATACTGATAATAATTGTAACTTCAAGTAGTTTTTTTCTGGTTGTTTAATCTTTACTTGTAATGGAATAATCTTTTATTTGAACTATTTTAACCTTAAAGGGTAAATGTGAGAGTATATTAAGGTTGCTTATGTAATTAGTATCTTCTAAAGTATTTACTTTGAGTTGTATTATTCTCTCATGGCTATGGATGATTTTCATTAAATTTTTCGTACCCATTATTTTTCACTAGTAAATCAAGACTAGTGAAATACAGTTTATATACCTTTAAGGTAGATATAATATCGACATACAGTTACGATGTTTTTATACTATCGTTTAAAGGGTATTCACCAACACAATAACCTAAGTAATAAAGCAAGATAGAAATCACTCATACGTACATATGCTACATTACGGTTTAGTCAGTAGAGTTCGACCCTCTCCAAAGATTAAACAAACATAGCATTAACCATCGCTTATTTGTCAATCAATGTACATACATATACATTTTTCAGTGACCACACACATGTCTCCAGTTAACTTTTGAAAATTGTTGGTATAGTTATAAAGTTTTAATTTGGCATTCACAGTTAAGTGAAGTCTGTATACTGGTATTCCACTAAGCATTTTACATACAGGGAATAAATAACTCAGCTGTCCAAATTTTGTTTTATAATTAAAGATGGATAATGTAATTGGTTGATGAACTCCATCTAAAAACCAATTTGGATATTGACTATCCCAGTTCAACTTGAGAGTGAAATGCTGTGCTGTAAAAGCGAGGGGTTCGTTATATTTAGATCATTAAGAAGGCTTTTCAACTCACACAGAAATAATGAGTAACCAACCTATCTGAAGGATTTACTGTTAACTAAGCTAACCTATAAATGTCAGAAATCGTATGCAATGTGACTAAAATGTTGGGCGAATACATTTACTGAATGAATCATTTATACACTTTACACCCAATCAAGAAGTTTTTCACAGATAATCACCTTTGACCTAAATAACATGACAATAATATCAATAGTCTTGCCTGCATGTATTCACAAATGTGTCGATAACACTTATTTTTTCAGTGATTTTATAGTATAAACTTATTCTAAACACTACTTCAGTCTGCTATTGATGATCTTATTAACTATAAAATCGACCCTTTTCCTAAAAGAGAATCTCCATTTTAATTATCAATACTTCCGTAGTCGGGTGATTTGTACTTTACATTAGATATCTTGCTTGAATATTGAGATAAATGTACGTAGCTCAATGACAATAGAAAAAGTAACTTTCTCAAAGGAAACTCTTCACACATTATTATTTATTCTGCTGAAAAATGAAAAACCACAATCAAGGAATAGAAGTATAGCCTGAAAGTTATAAACTCACCACAGAATAAATGCTTTACATTGCAATTAAGTATTCAAAGCATAATTTAAAATATATTCAGATAGTGGCTAGTATTAAAATCCTGGATTCGGGTTTTGTCCTATTTGCATCTCATCAGTCAAAAGTGCCTGAGTCTCAATGTTACAATTGTACACTGAGACTCAAAATTAAAATTAAAAATTATATCTGAATATCAACAACTGAAAAATTCTACTCCTTACAAATATATTTAAAATTAAATCTAATTAAACACACTAATTGTACCAAAGTAACTGATTGGTTTACGTATGTCTTTTTTTCTAAAAAGATGAACATTCACTTGTCTTGAAATCAAATTGAAATGGAAAAAAAAGTAGAAACAAATTATCTGGTAGCAAATAAAAAAAGAAGACAGAGTAAATTATAAACGCTGTAACTGAGTAATTGTAGACATTCTAAAAATTACCAGAATGTCAACTTTATATGACAATATGCATAAATAAAATGTTTCATTCAAAATACTTGCGTATATATATATGTCAGTATAGTTGTCGTGGTTATTATTTGGTGTGACTGATCAATAAAGGTAATCAGTTCAAATACATTATAGTTTTTTTTGTGTTTAAAATATGGTTACTGAGCTACACATTACATAAACAGAGACTAATATTTTAGTTTAAATATCCTTTAACTTTTATTTATAATCTATAAGATTAGTAGAAAATCTAATTTTTATGATTATGAACTTGAAAATAGAAAATGAATTATCTGTTATCTCGTTATCATTTCTAAATACCAACTTCATAAATTGTATCTTTCAGCATTTTAAATATATTTTTTGTGAACATTCAGAATAAGTACTATTTTTGTGGTAAGATTAGCTAAAAAGAATATAATTTTAAGTGTATTATTTCTATGTATTTCCTTATAAATACATTTTGAACATTATCTGTCAAGCAAAGATGGATAGTGGCTAGCAGTGGAATCCAGGACACATGTTTCGTCCTATTTTGGACTGATCAACTGGATATACCTGCATCTCAATGTTGATGTTCACTCTTAGACCCGAACTCATTAACTTTCGCTTCAAATACCATCGCGTTATCCACTTAACTACTGAGTCCTGATAGCCACCTGCCTGTGCAATGGAGTGAAGTTTCAAAATCACTTGACATTGTTTACTTGTATTTTGTATTAACATTGTTATTTTAGGGATAAATTTTATGAATATTGATTTCAAACTGTATGTTGTAGATAAGTTACTTAGAATATTCATAAGCTGACAATTACATTCAGATATCATCCATTTTAATTAGATTAGTTATTCGTTTGAATAAGAATATTTTACCCAAAGATTTATATACATTCTGTCAAGTAATATAACAATAGCAACAAATTTCTAATTATTAAATGAATTAAAGTCTTGATTGAAAGTTATATTGAACTCTATTCATATTTTTCACAATAAATATTTAATTATATTAACTTAGGTCCTAGGTAAATAAATCAACTTGTTCAGACCTGTTCTTTGATTGACTGCATATAATATTCATGCATTGTTCTTTTGTACTATTTAAATTTGGATTAATTTTAATTTGGTTTCTTTGTTCTCTGAAGAAGTGGCTTACATTAAGTCACGAAACGTCAGAACATCTCATTGTTCTACTCATTGGGATATTACAAAATATATTATTTCTCTTTATATCTATAAAATCAATGTTTACTATGAAATCAAATCAAACAGTAGTGTACTAACAATAAAACTATTGATTGAAGGTTAAGAAGATCAAAGAAAAGTGAAAGGGAACAAAGAATGATTTGTGTGGAAACGAAGAAAAAATGAAATCTGATATATTGCAAACGAAGTATTTACTGTATGATTCTCAGATTTTACTAACATGTTCTGTAATTTTGTATTCACATGCATTCGATTGTCTTCACTTGTAGGTTTCAAGAAGATCGAGCTTATTTTAAATCATTCAAATCAGAAATAATTCGTAAAAGTACTCCGTTATTTCCTCATAAAATTTTAGTTGGAATTATTAGTTCATCTATTTCATTCATACAATGATGAAAAATCATTTTAGACTATGAAAGGTAGCTAGAACAAGAGAATTATTTTATCTTGTTTTTTGAAAATAAAAGTATTCCGATAAATCGATACATCATCCGATTATCTGTTTCATATACTTCGTTATTTTCATCCTGTCCTGGACAATATTAACTCCAACAACAAAAAAAAGATTTTTCATCTCATATTAACTAAATCAAATTGATAATATACCGGAAGGAAGACGATTCAGTAAGTCACAAAATAAAAACTATGAAACAATGGCATCATATTCATGAATTGTAATAAAAGTGAAATGAATAGAAGACAAAATAAATGGATATGTTGAACTGAATAAATTTAAGTAAACATTTTTCTTTCTTTTAGAAATTCATAAAGTAACTTTGCTTGTTAAAAAAATTTCATGACAAATCGATAGATTCAATTTTTGGAAAATGAGAATTTTTTTAAAAATCATTTTATTCATATAATGTGTAACTATAACATAGTGAGCTCTTAAATCCTATAACAACAAATAGGAATAAATTAGTATGTTCCTATGATGTGTCATTCATATTTGAAATATATACTTTCCGTTGCTGCATTACACAATCATCTAATGTTTGTTAACTCCATGAGTTCTAATAACTATTTTAAAGTTCTGGAACTTTCCCTCTCAAACTTTATTTATCCGAAACAAAGTTTTTATGATCATATTGACTCTATTGAAATTTTCGCTACATCATGACACAAAAGTTCATCTTTAATCACCCTCTTATATATAAGTATGTCAATTTCTGTAATAGCGGTGATTTTCAAATATTTTAGGTCGTAAACAGCTGATGAGAACCCGACGATATTAAATGAATCCATATTATTCTGCATCAATCTTCGTTTTTGCTCTCTTTAGGATAATAAAGGAACTATTTGTATAAAATTATAGTAATCATAATGTTTTTGACGAAATAAAAACAGGTAAATTACTTGTCTGGTGTAATATGTTATTGATAATGAACACAGTAAATCATCTAGATGAGTGGTAAATACTATACTACAACCAATAATAATTAAATATTCTCAAAAAATCTTTTCTGGGGATAAAATTATATTTATATGCATATATCCGCCCAGGACAGAGTGGGTTGGTGAATGCTGGTCGGCGGCCTATGCTCTATTAGGAGTAAATTAAATTTATAATATATCAATTAAAGCTTCATTTACAATTAAGGTATATTAAATATCAAACATTAATCAAGATTCTCCAGCGATAGAAACAATGTTTTTTTTTGTTGTTATTGTGTGATATAGTAGCATATAGTTTACAGTAAAACAAAACCAATTATATGGTATCGCCTAAATTTGAACACATATCATTCTGATCCTTATTTTGTGAATAAAGCCAATGAAAATCATGAAAATAAATGAGAGATTTCTTATGATGCATCTTAAAATAGATTGATTACTAAACCTACAAAATTTAAAAAGCTGTAATGTAATATCGGTTTAAGTCTCCTAGATCTACGTACAAATACGATAAAACAATAAATGACTGCAGCATTCATTAACGTTACAGATATAGGAATGTTTAGAGTTATATTAATTAGTCACTCTCTAGTAGCGCAATGTCATATTTGTCTAGTCGTTTTATTCTAATCAAGTTGTCATGAAGTCACTAGTTTAAATACCTCGGTATCATATATACTATATCGAGACGTCGTTGGATAGTTAGGGATAGACTATTAACATTAACCACCTAATCTATTTGGAACATATTTTTCGACCTAAAAATAAATTTAATAGTTGAATTCATGAGTCCATTGAAGCTAAACTATCATAGAAAACCTGAGAGCACTGGATGGCAATTTCATCCTAGTATGCGACTCTTCAGCAGTGCGCATCCACGATCCCGACCCCCGTGAGATTCGGACCCAAGACCTATCAGGCCCACACGCGAGCACTAAACCACTAGACCAATGAGCCGGTATCCAACGGTATTAATGTCTAACTTCAACAAATCCATAAATGATTTTGATTTCAAACAAGATATATTCACAAAATTAAAAACCACATCATTCTTTTTTGACCTTTTTGTTCATAAGTTTATTTACTTTGTGAATAAACGAATTATCAGTATTCAAACATTAAATCATGTTTATAAAGTGAAATTATTAAAATGTATCAACTTACTTAAGTAGTTAATTTTCTTAAATTTTTCCCATAGAAATCATATTGTTTTATTATGAAAATTATTTGATATTTAGCATTTTTATTATTTTTTTTCTCTCTCTTTATTTTATAGAATAAAGAAATAATTATAATGGTAACATGGAAAATATTAAACTATTCAACTATTGGACAGTGAATAGGTAAATATGATTAAAGACAATCTGAAATAGATAAGATAGATAGATAGACATTTAGATAAATAGACAGACAGACAAATAAATAAATAAAACAATAAAGATAGAACCATTACAAGTAAAAATGGATAGTGGCTAACAGTAGAATCTAGGACGTGAGTTTCGTTCTATTTAGGATTCGTCAGTTGGATGTACCTGCATCTTAAGGTTGATGTCCACTCCGTGGCTCGAACCCAATGCTGTTCGTTCCAAACGACATTGAGTTATCCATTTAGCTATTGAATCCTGATAGCCACTTGCATGTGCAATGAAGTTTGAGTCCCAGAGTGAATATAAAATCTGAGATGCAGGTACATTCAACTGGCAAGTCCCAAATAGGAAGAAACGCGTGTCCTGGATTCCACTACTTGCCCTATCCATCTTGGTTTAAAAAGTTTGTGGTTTAAAGCTACATAGAGGCAATCCTTACAGGATGGGAAGATTCAAGTAAATAATACCAAGTAAATACAAAAATAGAATATTTCATTTTAAATTATGTGTATATAATGATTTATAAAGGATTTTACACGTATTTACATGTGTATGTCATTATGTAATGTATACAGTGAATTATTTGTTTAAGGATAATAATGACAAAGAAATTATTTCCAATGTAATTTTCTGAATATGGAAAAGGATTTTATAATAAATAATAAAGTCTATAAGACTTTCAAATGATTTTATCAAGTTTATTTTTCTATATCTTTAAGATAACCAAGTTCCTGTTTTTAATAAATGATTAAAAGGTTTGATAATAAGTTACTTCTAAAGAGAAAAAAAGAGGGGGGG